CTTTGAGCGTTTCCAAACAGTTGAAGTTGAAGCCGAAGCACGCTTTATAATCCTCAAAAAAGACAAGCGTATTTAGAAGACATGTTCGTCTTTCCAGCAAAGGATGAAGAGCCATTTGGACCAGAGGTGATGGACGTGATTAAAAAGCACAACTGGAATAAGTTCGCTCGCCATCCCAACGCTGTAACACCAGCAATGGTGAGTGAGTTCTACGCCCATCTCGAAGACCCGTCCAACCACACGATGTATGTCCGAGGAAAGCTCTTTTGATTTTCCCCTTCATCACTCAACAAATACTTCAAGTTGGGAAAAGTGGATGAGTAACACAAGAAATTTGTGGCTGAGGCAGACCAGGAAACATACGACGGCTTATTTGAAGATCTTTGCTTTGGGTGGGCCAAGTTCGAAGGGAATGCACCAACGAGGAAGAGAGTCGATCGCCGAGCCCTTAAACTGATCGTTAAGTTGTGGAACCATTTTCTCAAGGGCAAGCTTATGCCAATATATCACAACACCACTGTGCTCATGAAAAGATTGATGCTCTTGCACTCGATAATATACGGCAGGAAGATTGACATTGGAGAACTCATCTTCGAACAAATCCACGAGTGTGCTAAAAGGAATCGGGGTAATTTATTGTTTTCTAACCTGATAACCGCACTGTGCAGGAAAAAGAAGGTCCCCGATGAGCCCTTTGAGAATTTCTTTAAATCCAAGGAGGGTATCACCAAGAAAAAAGTACCCGAGCTGATGAGTTTCGATGATAACGCCCTACACGAAGGTTTGGAGAGGGGAACAAAATATGTTGTCGTAGCCAGAATGGCCGCAGTGGTTACGTCTATGTGAGAAACGTGTGAGAAGATAGGGCGCCTCGAGGATCACATAAAGATTTTTTTCGAGTATGTCAAGGCAAGGGACGCGTTACTCAACGCCTATTTCAAAGAGTTGTTCCTAAGAACAACCGCTAATATGTCACCCTTCCTCAACGTCATCCTCAAATACAATGCTGGTGGCAGCACATTCCACGCTTCGACATCAAATGTCCCCCCAGAAGTACCCACAGACGTGCCAACACTGGCCACCCATGTCTCACCTGTACCAGAGGAAGACCATGGCGACACCGAAGAGTTCATCATCTCCTCATCTCCTCATCTTTCTCATCCTCCTAGAGCAGTCAAGACACCCCTCCCAACTTCATCTCCGATGAAGATTTCACCCCATCCCCGAAGCAACCCGAGCAAGGTTCCATTCAGTCCCCTGTCCGTCAAGCAATGCCAATCCCAGAAGCAACTCAAAGTTCAACACCAGTTCCTGCACAACCGACTCTTACTATCGAGCAACCAACTCCAGCACGAGCCTTGACCAACAAGAAGTGCATCAAGCGAACGGCATGTCGTAGCCTTCATCTGTCACCCTTGATGATTGAAACAGTAGACTCGGGATCAGAGAGTCACTCTCCTCCCAAACGACGTCGAACTAGGGTGTCCAGTCAAACCACCCCACCACAGTAAGTTTGCATTTTATTTTTTACTTCTAGCATGTGCATATAGATTCATGTAGTTTTAGTTCTCATGCATCGAGGGCAATGCATCCCTCAAGTTTGGGGGAGGTATTGTGCCATATTTTTTCATACTTTGTTAAAAGCAATTGATGATAATTGGTTGAAAATTTTAGTTGTCATGACATAAGCAAGTTAAGACTATTGTTTAGAATGAACTAGGGATATTCGATGATGAGTGCATAATTTGATTGTTTAGGCCAGAATTATTGTTAAGACTGTCTAAGGAAGAGAACCAACCCTACGCTTGATTCTTTGAAATTTACAAACACGATTGTAGACTATCCCTGCTTAAGGTAATTTGTAAAATTTTTAGGAAAAAACTTTTTGCTTTTCGAGACTTTAAAAATATTTTAAGGGTAAGGTGTAACTCCCTAGTGTTTAAAGCTTAAACAAAATAAAAGGGACACTCCTCTATGCAAAGGCATAAAACAGGAAAAAAACTCCATAATAAATTAAGAGTCACCGAGGCATATGAGTGAATGAAAGTAGTCACAGGATGACTCTGCCCGACTATCTTGTGGTGGAAGGTATGCTCCCTTTCACCTAGAGTGTGGGACGGTAGGTGTGATGAACTGACTCCCCAATAAAAAAAAGAAATAAAAAGTGGATAAATAACTAGGAGTATAAACTAAGCCTGACAAATAATTTGATGCCTTGACAAACCAAAAGCAATTACTTCAAGTTTTCTAATTACCTTTATGCATAGATTGGTTACAATCACGCACACACAATAGCAAGGAATCCTAACTAGGGAAGGGGACTTGACTGATATGACTGTCGAACATGTTGAGGCAAACTATTTTTGCTGAGGGCTAAAATCTCAAACCATATGATTTTCTTAACACTGCTTTGCCATGACCATTTTAATTTTCTTCTAGCTATTGTACATTGCTTGAGGACAAGCAATAACTTAAGTTTTGGGGTGTGATAACTCCGTAAAAAGACTCAATTCTTAGTCTTTTCACTTAAATTTCGTCTAAACAAAGCATGCACATCAATTTAGTTGCATTTAGTTGCATGTAGGTTATATTTGCTTGTGGTGGATAAATTTTGCTTTGGCAAGATTTATTTGGTTTAACTAATGATGCTGAGGAGAAAGGGATGCGTGCATTGTGTATGTGCAGGAAACTTACAGAGGAAGAACATTTCAGTCGTGACAACGCAATTTGCGAGGGCCAATGGAACAGAGAAAAACGTGAGGAGTATATTTATCTCGCCGAGGCAAGGTTTATCTGAAGAGTCTGAAGCGGGTATGACAAAACCGCCTATGTCACACGCCAGTTGGATGACCTCCTCCACGTGCAAGCAAGCCTTAAATATTCTGATAGCCACCAGCCGTCTTTCCTTTTTAAGCCTGGACAAGAAATCAACGGTTATTTAAGGAATCTCCAAACATGCAAAACCCTAGGAGATTTTTCCCTATAAATAACCAGTCGTAGCCTCCAAAAGGAGGAGGCAAAGAAGAAGAGAGAAGAACTTTCCCTAAGGCGTGAGTGAGCAACTGCAGTGCTTTCCCACCTTTTACCAACCGACCTTCCTTGGTGTCCTCCATACCTAGACTGTAGCTGAGCGGTGATCAGGTCTCGAGAGAGACTGATCACTAAGGCAGGCGTAACTCTGATCAGAATTGTCACGACATAGCCCCCGATTTTGGGAGTCATTCTTCTTTTGTTCTTAAATTCTTTATATATTTGGGGTTTTATTAAACGTTGAATCTTGGATGACTTTTTGATAGTACTATGACTGTCTTACTTGGTGTTAATCTTTGTTTGCCTAGACAATTATTTTCTATTTTATGAATGATGCATTATGTTTTTGGTCATGATTGTTTTGTTCATCGATTAAATCTTTTACTTTGACACTGTAAGAGCATCGAGAGATAGTCTGGGGTTTTGGTAAAACATGTCTGGCAATGTAAGAGCATCGAGATATAACATTTTGTCTAGATAGTGATTCTTAGATTCGAGAGAATTAAGATAGACCTACATGAACAATGGAATGGATCTGGGATGATGATGTTCTAACTTGTCTACCTTAGAGATAAGGAGCGGGTTTCAATCGACTAAAAGGGATAAACGCTATAGTAGGATAGACAATGCCTATAGTTCACGTCGAGAGGTATTGCTACAACAACAGTCTGACAAACCAAGGGTTGTAGTTAAATGCTGAGTGGTATTTCCATAGCAACCGTCTAAGAATACTTAGTAATCCTATCGAGCAGCTTAAATAAGTCATAATAATTCATTCTAGACTTAGAGTAATTGTTGTCAATACAAAAGATTAGCATAAGTGCTCTGTGGTAAGTCTGAATATGTGAGGTTGTTTGAATTATATTTAAATCAACACTTGTCTTTGTTTAGTTTATTCCAATATTTTGCATATTTATTTTGTCTCGACTAAACTTTTCTGTAATCATCATTATAATATTTTCTTGTTTTATTAGTTTTTAAGTTGACAAGCTAGTAGGAATTAATTTGTGACAACTAGTTCTAGTTGTGGTGAAGATAAATTTTTAGACCAATCCCTGAGGAGACGATAACTCACTTACCCTATATTACTTGAATCGATTGTGTATACTTGCACAAAATTGATTGCCTTAGCATATACATTTACAAGCGATCAATAACCCCTTTATATAGTTGATTTAAAAATCAGTTATTGTCTGTATTTATAACTCTGTCCCTCATCAAATTATAAATATACTTTTAATAGTATCTACACTTTTATTTCCATGATACTTCTAATAGCTTATGACATTATAACATAATTGATCACTTAATTTATGTCATATTTTATGATAACAATATACATTAAAAATATGTGATCATAATTATGAATTTTAATCCAACAGTCGTTGTTGTGTCATCTTTTCCAGAACAAATCCATCTTTTCACCAATGCCAATGAAGTTATAAACTCTGCTTGATTTGCAACCTGAAAAATGAGCCTACCTCCATTTCAAGATTGTAAAGCTCTTGACACCTTCATCTTCTTCTTAAACCGAGGTTAGTAACCTTGACTTAGTAAACAATATTCATCAGAATATGATGCTATGATTTCAGGGATAGAGGGAACTTTGCCAACAGAACCTTGGTACATTGGTAGTACTGTCATTGAGGGATTTGGTCGTGGCTCAAAAGTACTTGGAATCGCTACAGGTATATGATGAACTGCTATTGTTCGTTAAGCTAGTATTGATTTTTAAATTACTTTGACTTTTGAATATTTATTAGGTAAGAATCTTTGAGCTATTTTGCTTTGATGTAACATCAAGTGTTTGAAATTTGTTCATATTTCATTTCTTATTTCCTCTGTTTTGCTGCATGTCCTGTTTTCTCTCATTTATTTTAATCACCACCACCAACACTAATTAATATATACTAAAGAAATTGAGTCTTGACGCGTGTTCGCTGCCTAATGGATGCGGGACTCTTGTTAAAATGAATAAAAATCTGGAAAAGCAGTCAACACTGGACCTCCAAACTGGAGTATCAAAGGTCAAACAAAGCAATGGCTACTGCTAACGTGCACTAAATATCATCAAGCTCATATCCACCTTACACGTGTACCATCAGTATCAACAAGACAGTAACATCCACTCAGATGTCCGTATCTCCACCCACATTCGAAAATACACTGAAGGTGTTAAAAAGAAAAGATAGAAGCTAACCGACTTTTAGCCGACTTGGCCGACCATATCTCTCCAACACCAATGTACTTATAACTTACTCATGCTGACGGCTGATGATTACTATGAAAAATCTGCTCTCGAATCACTTCCTCAAGATTTTCTTGCAAGTACTTATATAACTTCCTATAAAAGTTCAAAGTTTCGTTTTTTTATTACTTCCTATTTTTGGATTTCGAGCTGTGATTGATGAGATCTTTTTTTTTCAAATTAGGATTATTTGTGGTGTCGACCATGAAGATTTGAAGCAACTTTTTAATGTTTCTAAATCAATCAGAGAAGCTGTGAGTATAGTAAAGCTGTTCAATTTGGATTGTAAATTGTTCCATTTATAGATGAACACTATTAAATCTGATTTTAACTCTGATTAAAGCCCATCTTTTTTTTTTGCAATTCCCAGACTGTAATTGCAAAGCAGTCGTATTTTGCTTATAGCACACCAACAAAGGTGAAAGCTTTTCGTACGTCCATAGATTTAGAGGAAGCAAGTGAAATAGACGACATTGAAGCTCTAAATGCACCAAGGCAATTGAGGTCTCACAGGTCAATCAATAGGAAGAAACTTGTTGCTATTTCAGTGGCACTATTTGATTGACACGAAATGTTTGTAAATATAGCTTGTAGTAGTAATAGTGTAGATTGAAAAGGGGGGATCTGGTAGTTGGATCTTTGTACATGGGTATGATTCTTTACAAGCTATTTCTTCAAATGTATCGTTGAAGATATGGGTTGTTTTAAGCTTTTGTTAGTATCTTTATGTACATGAGAGAAAGAAAGGGCAATTCCAGATTCGGGCGTATTTGGTTTGGGGAACTTATCTTTCCCATTCTGGTGTGATAAAGTTGAGATTGGAATGGACAAGTTATTTTCAGTGATAATAATAAATTTAGATACTTCCTCGTACAAAACATTTCTACTTTCATTAGAGTGATTCTTGTTCTGTTTTGCTTACTGTGGATTATGGTTCTATAACTCAATTATAATCTCCGAGAATTCGAGTAAATGTTCATCGCGTTTCCTCAAGATAATTTACATTTTGTTGTCAATGATGTATCTATATTCTTGTGATTCATGACAGGCCATACATATAGGAACTGGTTAATGAATGGGAGACATTACAAATCCTCTTTCATGGGATAACCAACTCTTGAAGAGTGGGAAATCCATTGAATCTTTCTACAAAATTTGAGCCAAAATCTTGACGAAAACTTCGTCGAGTAAAAGAAATTTATTAGAGATTTTATTGGAGAATTAATTGGGAATCTGTGTAGGATGAAGTTGAAGCAAGTGATTTTAGCTGTTCTCTACTAGAATCAAGGAAGCCTTGATTTCGGCAATCAAAACTTTATTGATTTTTAAATTATTCATTGAGAAGTTTCCATATAAATTATCCTTTTAGCACTCGGTCTTATATATTCCTTTCATTTGGTAAAATTAATTACATGCATATCTTTGGCAAAATTTCAGCTAAGCGTGGAATTGTTAAAAGAAAGTATTTAAGGAGTCATAGTTAATACAAGTGTTAAAGCTAGCAAAAAGGCTTTCGTTTTAGTGATTACCTGTTTCTCATTGCACAACCTGATGTTTGAATTTCTGCCCAGTCTTGATGGGCTTCAAATGGTCCCGATTCACGTCACTGGCCACATGATTTCAATGGAATCGGCCCAGCAGCTAAAAATATATCATGATCTCATCACTTTTGGATTCGTGGCAATCATTAGAATTTTAGGGATACTAAGATTTTGTATTTGGTGGGTATTAATTTGATACTTCCATTCCTGATTGCAGTAGCACCATTATTAATTCCATTCTAGGTTTGGTGAAACGAAGCCGTTTATGTTTTTATTTTTTTCTTGAGCAACAATCCAATAAAACAATGACAAAAGCTTAGTTTAAGCAACTTTCTGGTAAGCTATATCTTTCAAATTTAAAGCAACCATGATAACCATTTTTGCTATTGGGATCCATCTTTGTCGGCCCCATTCATGAATCACCTTCATTAGCTTATTGTTTTCTTGCCCTGGAAGTTACAAAACCTCTATTGTAAATTCCATCAACATTACAGCAGTTTAATATATTCGTCAAGATTTCAATAGTAGCTAAATTTAAGATCTGGTGTTTCGGAAAGCATGCTAATTATTGGACATACGAAAGAAAGACGTTAAAGATTCTGGTCAACTTGTCATGTTCTGCATGTATAGCAGGATTGATGCAAGCATGAATCGGTGAAGAGTTGTAAGGGCTTAATCGCCGTGATTTCTGGTCTCAGTGCATCATCTCTCTGGCCATATGGCACAGATAGCTACTTGAAATCAAACCAGTTTTGCTTTGCAGGCTCGCTTCCAGCGCTGGCTCCACTCACTATAGTGGCCTTTATCATGCTTGTTCACATCGTGGTCATTATTAATGGAGATTTTCTCAAATCTAGTTATTTGAAATTGGATTACGATGTTCGAAGCTTTATGTCATTAACTTGTATGCAACACTCAGCAGTCTTAATAGTAATGAAATGCAATATAGGTGAGTAGAAAGCTAAGAATTTTAACCCTTAAAATAAAACATGTTAACGTTCAATAGTTTGAATGATCGTCAACATATCCAAATGTCTCCATCAAACCCAAATTTGTAATTGTCCATATTCTGTATTTTTACCCTATTTTAGCTAACTAATGGATCATTTTTCTTTTTTGGTTATCTTTACCTTTCTCTTTGAAGCAAAGGTATTTTGTAATGGCGCATTTGTTTAGAATTTTTCCCTTGTGCCCTACTCAAAAGGTGTGCTAAGATCATCACTCTTTGCTTTTAGCACACAATTAATGTAATGTACCTAACGCCTCCATTGGCATTAAACATCAAACACGGTATAGGGTTTTAGGCCTTTTATGCAGTGTATAGCTCCACAACAACTCCAACGATGGAAGAAAGAGAAGCACTTTCCAACTAACACACGGAACGAATGAACAAAAATGGCCATAATGCGATCTATGTATGTTAAGAACGCTTTTCGAAAACTGTAAGAAAAAGCTTAAGAAACCGATCTATGTATGTTAACCTAACTTGCTCATTGGATCTTGTAGACAAATAATGAGTAGCTAGGCGAGTTAAGGCTGGTGAATATGTAAGTACTCGATGGATTTGAAAAACACGCGGTCCCAGAGGTGATGGATTGAGGTCATGTGCTTAGCCAATTATGCTGTTAAAAGGAGATGAAGATCGACCATTGCCGGGGTACAACATTCAGGTTTTAACGGAGTTTGCTGATTCACTTTGCTGGTTAAAACAAAGACCCTTTTTCTTCTTTTCATTAATTGATAATCAAATCAATCCTAAAGGATTTGTGGTTGTAAAACCTTGTGTAAAGACTTCATAAAATATTGATCCGTGACTCGCAAAATAATGAGGCATTTTGTCTGGTGATACGACATCCCTAGTTTGGAGTGTGGACTTTGACACCTGCTATATCATATGGTTCATTCATTTTTCTAAAAAAAAACATTTCATTTGTCTTGTTCCAAGGGTTATTATTATTTTTTGTGTGTGTAAGAACAGCTGCCCTAAATTCCTCTTTATCTACAAACTTTAATCCATTTTAATGAATGGGATCAATCCTCTTTGGGTGTGTTTGGTTCACAGAATGTAAGATTACTAGTAGGAATAAAAGATTTTCAGTGAGAATAAAAGATTATCAGGGAATAAGATTACTGGGAATGTTGTATTTTGTGTTTGGTTGGTTTAGCAGGAATGTAAGATTATCGTGTTTGGTTAAAGAAATAAAAGATTATTAGAATGTATATTTGATCAAATTGTCCTTATTATATATTTGTTTTTTAACAAGTTGGAAATTTATATATTTTCTTTAAAAATTTAAATTCATAAAATTTATATAATTTTTTTTTACAAAATTGAAAATATAAAAAAGTTTAATGAAAGGGTAAAATTTTATTTTAACCTCTGAACTTCATATAAAATTTTAATTATAGATTTTTTTTAAATCTAAAATAGTTTAAAGATAAATTTGTAATTTAGCATTCGTAAAATTTTTATTATTCAATGACAGAATAAGGATATTTTTGGAAAAAAAATTTAAGGGTATTTTAGTCCAAAACGTAGGTAATCCAACAATACCTAAGGAAAGGGAGGTAATGACATTCCCGGTAATATACCCTAAAAAATTCACTATTAGTAATGTAAGATTACCGGGAATAGCATACCTAACCAACCAAATAGAGAATATAGATTCCATTCTCACAGAATCTCACATTCCCCAATCAAACACACCCTTTAGGTACTCTTTTTGCATAATAGTGCTTTGCAATAACACTACTTTTGGCTTTTTCTTAAGTTCCTCTCAGAACCTAAACCTAATCAACCCTAAAATAAGGTTTAAAAGAAGAAAGGTACGTGACTGCTGCCTCAAGGCATCCAACAAAGGCCTTCACATGGTTTTGAAGTGGTGGAGTGCTTTTCCATGCTGAGAAAATTGAAAGCTACTTTTTCTTTGCACCAAATAGAAAGGCTATCCCTTAGCAATTGGGTGGTCCATAAGGGCTCTGTTTTTCTCTCTCAAACCCTTAATCCCTCACCTTTGTCTTTATTACTCAACTTTGCTTCTTCGTTTTTTTTTAAAAAAAAATTCTTTCATATTTTACGTGTTTTTTTGGGGGTAAAGCCCAAGCTTTGGCTCCACTTGTAAATTACAAAAGAGAGCTCTAATTGGTTAAGGAGAGTACGTAAAGTTTGAGAATGTTGCCAACCTTTTAAAATATGCAACAAACCAACCCATCACTTGAATTAGACGCAATGTTTATAGTATTTCTTTCATTTTTTTTATGGATTTAGAACGACGTTCATTAAAATTAGCTATCATGATGTATTAAATATAATAAGCCTCTGTCATTCAACGACCCAATTTAATCTTAAAAAGTCCTTGTTTAAACTAAAGAATTATCAGTTGAGAATGAAGTGCTGTATGAATGAAGTTGTTTACATATGATATATATGCTGAAAGTAACGGTTACCTAATAACTTGAAAAGTGAAATTGAGTACTAATTACTGCACCTTATGATGATTTCCTGCTCTGGAACGTGATTTTAGTTACCAGCTAAGGTCATTTGGTAAATTAAAAATTATATTCCCAAGAAATAAGGCTCTGTTTGCAGAATAAAATCCCCCTTTCTACTCAGTAGTTACTGTCCCATTGTGATGGCTGCTCCAAGATTTTGCTAAATTTTTATTCTCAAACAGAGAAAACCCAGAGCTACACAGTGAAAACCCACTCATCAAAAAATATTAAAGCTTTCATGCTCCTTGTGTCCCTCACACAGACACCTGTCCCTTTAACCATGCATCTTCCATCTGTTTATCACTTCTCAGTTCTTTAAATATGATTCCAAACCATTTTAACCATACCTATTGTGACAGGAATGCCCTTATCTTCATCCTATTGACTTGTCACTGTTATGCAATGTTCCAAAAAGTCCCGAAATTTGTTTTCAGCTGCAAACATAACGATAACTACGGATATATTGTCACTGCCCTTTCTCTCTTCTCTCTCGCCTTCTGATAAGATCATCTGTTCTTCTCAGATTCCTTTCTTCATAGCGAAATCCTTTTGAAAAAGAACATGAAGTAAGCTTGCTTCAAAGTTTGTGTTAAAGAAGACAGCAAAATGGGGGAAGAAGAGCAAAACCAGAGCTCAACAGAATCTTTCACGGCAATGAAATCCAGTCTCAGGCAGGCCATTGAGGTTATATCTTCTTTGATTTCTCTCTCTCATTCTA